TATAATAATATATAATAATATTATTAAATGTTTATTAAATATATATTAAGTAAATATATTTCTTAAGTAAATATATTTTCATGTTTCTAAAAAAAATCTATAAATGAAAACCGTAAATAAATATTTTTAAGAATCTTTTAGGAATTGTTTGGGGTTTTGACCTTTCAGAATTGTGGTTTTTAGGATTTCATTCTTTAGATATTCAGATCTTTCTGGATTTTAACATTTAGGATTATCTCTTTCAGGTTTATAACCCAGAACCATTTTCATTCTTTTCTCTCTCGTAAACATTTTGACATCATGGAGGTTGTAATCAGCTCATATTTATTCAAATAAATACTTTGTGTATTTTCCAACTCATGAGATTCAAATCAAGTCTGATACAAAGTTCAAGTCAATAGTCTGATAAAGTTATTAGTTGATTTTTAATCTTTAAAATTTAGACTGTATAATGTCTAATCTATATGATTAATAAAGTACTGCATTCAATACACTGAAAAGGGAGGTAATTATGTTGAAAAATAAATACTGGTTGGGTGTGTGTTTTTCTCATCATTAGGCTATTGGCTTATTGACTTACCAATGTACTTTCTCTATTTTAAACTTTTGATTTACATTACAATTATTCAACCAACTTTAAAAATGATCCCTAAAACTTAACTTTTTAAAAGATCTATATAAAGATGTTACTAGCATGTGCATGCATAAAAGATATATATATATATATATATATAAAAAGGCCTTTCTCACAGGTGTGTATATAAAAGATATATAATCAATCCTGACTTGGCATCTCAACTTCAGTCACTCTATTACAGATGTAATGTTGCTTCTTTCTGTCTTTTCTACAAATATTTTCATGGCTCTAACAAGCTATTTTCCCTGATGCCCTAACTACATGAATTTAAGCTTGCTACTAGATTGGCATCTAGGTCCCACCCTTTTACTGTGGAAATAGTTAAATGTAACTGCCACTTTTACTCCACAGTTTCTTTTATCACACTTTCACCTTGTGGAACTCTCTTCTGTTTACTTGCTTCCCTAAAAACTAGTCCTCAAAAGTCTAAATGCAACATCAACTGCCATCTTCCATTTTCTTGAATCCTGTTCATCATTTATCTTTTCTACAGTCCCCCTCCTATGCCCAGTCTTTTCTCTTACTTTCACTCTCTGTAACCCTCTACATACTAGAGGCACTCCCGCCTTGCTTGGGGTGAAATGATTAATATATATATATATATATATATATATATATATATATATATATATAAAAGTCCATTCAAGCAAGTGTGTATATAAATGATATATAGTCGACTCTCCCATCGACATGAGATTTGATTATAGTGGCGAAGGCTCCGTGCAGGACCATCCACACTTTTTGAAAGGACGAATACAGAGACCTGGTGCACTAAGTGCCACAAGGTTCCCAAACAACCCTCCGCAGGTTTTAAATTCAGAGTTGTCCTTCTCCTTGACCAGTTGCCATCCAAGGCTATAGAACCCAGTCTGTCCTGCTATTTTACCCATAGCTGGAGGGAGACGAAGAGGATTCATACCTTTCCCAAGGGTATTAGCACGTAAGTGAATGTAATGGATTCGACTGGAGTTCAAACTCGGCTCTGCGATTCCTCAATCCAAGCCGCTATCCATTACTCCACCGTGCCTCCTAAAAGATATATATATATATATATATATATATATATATATATATATATATATATATATATAATATAAAGACCATTCTAGCATTTGTGTATAAAAAAGATAGAGTGAGATTATAGTTGTGCCAACAAGATAAAGGTGTATATTTTAAAGAGAAAAGAGAAGCCACAAACATTTTTGGTTATAATGTGGATTTTTTTTTATATATGTTATACTTTATTTTCCATATTTTTTGTTATATATGTTTCAAGTCTTGTGACCTTCATCAGGTGATGAATGGTTATTTCTACATATTATTTAAAGGAATTAATTTTTTTTCCTATTTTTTTCTTATGTTTAACCATTGTCTTTTGTATGTGGCAGTAATCCAAATTCCTCTTGGACTGATGGAAAAATCTTCCTTTGCTTAAGGGATAATAAGACAATTAAGATTGGTCAGAGAAAGAGGAGGGAATAAGGTCTTTGATCTTATTTTTTTATGTTCTCTGTATCATTTTAAACTTTTCTTCATTCTTGCGTATTGTGTGTATATGTGTGTTTTTGCTAGTATATATATTCCTTCTCCATACATATATGTTGCTTTATTACAAGGAAATAGCATATAAACATATATA